GATCAGGTGCTAGATGTATTCGAGCATTTCAGGCTTCAGTTGAGAGACAGATTGGAAAGAAGTTGAAATGCATTCGCACAGATAATGGGGGAGAGTATTTATGACTGTTTGATGATTATTGCATAGAACAGGGTATTCGGCATCAAAAGATACCTCCAAAGACTCCTCAGTTGAATGGTTTAGCTGAGAAAATGAACACGACACTGGTGGAGAGAGTCAGATGTTTGCTTTCACAAGCAGTGTTGCCTAAATCCTTTTAGGGTGAGGCTTTGAGTACAGTTATACACGTATTGAATAGGACACCATGTGTTCCATTACAGTTTGATGTACTAAACACAGTTTGTACAGGCAATGATGTTTCTTATGATCATTTGTGTCTTTGGATGCAATGCATTTGTGTATATTCCCAAAGACAAGAGGTCTAAACTTGATGTCAAGATACGACAGTGTATATTGGTGGGTTATGGTCATAATGAATTTGGCTAAAGGTTATATGATCTGATTGAGAAGAAAGTTATTAGAAGCCGAGATGTTGTATTTATGGAAGATCAGACCATACAGAATATTGATAAGACAGTGAAGATAGTGCCTCAACATAGTGATGATTTGATTGACTTGGTTCCAGTTCCCCCAACACCGGTGCCAAAACAAGTTGGAGATGAAGTTGAGTATGGCCAGCAGGGTACAAGTGATGCAGATGCTCCCATTTAGGTTGAGACAAATGATGGTTTTCATGAGCAGTTGCCAGTACTAGAAGTTCCACCATTTGTTCCACTCAAGAGGTCTATTAAAGATCGACAGCCTTCCACGTGGTATTTTACAGATGAGTATACATTATTAATTGACGGGGGCGAACCCGAGTGTTTGGAAGAATCCATGGAAGATGAACACAAGAATGAGTGGGTTGAAGCCATGCAAGATGAGATAAAGTCATTGCATAAGAATCACACTTTTGAGTTGGTGAAGGTGCCTAAGGGCAAAAGAGCTTTGAAGAATAAGTGGGTGCATAGGGTGAAGCAAGAAGAACACATCTCACGTCCATGGTACAAAGCTAGATTGGTAGTCAAGGGATTCAGTCAGAGAAAATGCATTGATTTTGATGAGATCTTTTCTCCAGTTATAAAGATGTCATTCATTCGTGTGGTTCTTAGTTTAGCAACTAGTCTTGACTTAGAGGTTGAGCAAATATATGTGAACACTGTTTTCCTTCATGGTGATTCGGAAGAAGAGATTTACATGGAGCAGCCAGAGGGTTTCAAGGTGAAAGGAAAAGATGATTACGTATGCAGATTGAAGAAAAGTCTTTATGGCTTGAAACAAGCACCGAGACAGTGGTGTAAGAAGTTTGAGTCAATTATGGCAGAGCAAGGCTACAAGAAAACTACTTCTGACCATTGTGTTTTTGTTCAGAAATTTTCTGATGATGACTTTATTTTTCTTTTGCTCTATGTTGATAACATGTTAATTGTTGGTAGGAATGCTTCTACGATTAACAGGTTGAAGAAGCAGTTGAGCAAATCTTTTGCCATGAAGGACTTGGGGCCAGCAAAATAGATTCTTAGCATAAGATTCATTTGAGATAGGTATGCCAAGAAGTTGTGGTTATCACAAGAAAAGAAAATAGAAAAAGTGCTTCAAAGATTCAAGATGGACAGCTAAAGTGGCTAGCTCTCCTTGTGCTACTCACTTCAGACTGAGCACTAAGCAGAGCCCTTCTACTAATAAAGAGAAGGAAAACATGAAAAGAGTTCTATTTGCCTCAACAGTGGGAAGTTTGATGTATGCCATGGTTTGCACAAGGCTAGACATAGCTCACGCAGTTAGCATAGTTAGTTGTTTCCTCTCAAATCCAGGAAGAGAGCATTGGAATGCGATCAAGTGGATTATAAGGTATCTTCGAGGCACTTCAAATTTGAGACTTTGTTTTGGAAGTGAAAAACCTTTGTTGGTTGGCTACACATATGCAGATATGGCCGAGGATGTTGATTTCCGTAAATCTACTTCGAGTTACTTGATCACTTTCTCAGGTGGAGCCGTAGCTTGGCAATCAAGATTATAGAAATGTATTGCACTTCTACCACTGAGGCAGAGTTCATTGCAGCAACGGAAGCCTGCAAAGAATTGTTATGGATGAAGAGGTTTGTGCAGGAGCTTGGCTTCAAACAAATGCAGTATGTGTTGTTTTGCAATAGTCAAAGTGTTATCCACCTTAGTAAGAATTTTACTTTTCATGCTAGATCAAAGCATATTGATGTGAGGTATCATAGGATAAGAGATGTTTTAAATTCCAAGTCGCTAGAAATTGAAAAAATCCATACTGGTCATAATGGCTCTGATATGTTGACGAAAGCTTTATCAAGGGAAAAGCTTGAGGTTTGTCGTTCGATCGCCGGGATGCAAATCCATAGTCGGGAAGGCGAGATTTGTTGGGTTGGGTTTCCCTCCATGTTGAGGATGGCCCAAAGTTCATCTTTTTTTGAGTGAAGCCCATATGGATTAAATCCCATATGGAGTAAGGGCATTTCAATCATTTTGCCCATTATATGTTAAATGAGATTTTTTCCTCATTCGGTCTCAAGATGTGAGATTTAAGAAAGAGAGAGGAGAGGAGAAAATTCTGGGTTTTTGGAGGCACTGTATAGTCATCATCAAGAGCTATGATCGGATTGTCATTCGTCATCCGATTGAGCTGAAAATTTGACAGCAGGTTCACAACATATGGTTCTTCATTCTGAACGGTGTGATTGACATTTGAAGTCATCTAACTCAGTTCTGCAGAACCGTCTTTGCTGCCTCTGTTTTGGTGAGATCTCTTCAATTTTCTCTTTTTTGGAATTAATCTTGTTTATGATATTTGCCAAGAATATATTGTTCTTGATGATTGGTATTGTTGTATGCCTCTAGGTTTAACTAGAGAAGACTCTTGTATATTCCCATTATTTGATGATAGTAGAAGCTTTGGGTGGAGTACAATCCCATGGTTTTTACTCCTTACTTTGGGGAGGTTTTCTACGTAAAAAAATTGGTGGTGTTTATATGCGTGTTTGTGGAGCGTTTGGTTGTTGATTTGAGAGCTTAATAATTGCCATTAATGTGTTTGATATATTGTTCTCTACTTAATTACTTCCTATTAAGTTTACTCAAGAGAAGAAGAATTGTTTTGTTCCGTTGTGCTTGTTGATCGAGAATTGCTCGGTTGGTTTTTCTTCCCAACGTTTGTTTCGTTCATGTCTATCATGAAGCAAATCATATAGGATATTCATTGCACAACTTGGGTGCAATTTACCTGATCTTGTAGCTTCTGAGTCCCTACTTTATAATGTGTATTTTTACTGATCTTGTAGTTTCTGAGTCCCTACTTAATAATGTGTATTTTTTTGTGCTTTTATTTTTATAACAAAAGTTATTAACATTGTCAAAACTATATATAAAACAAAAAGGCATAATGTTGAGAGAGATACTAGAGGCCAAGTGAAACTCGAGAAATCAAGAGCATAAACAGCTCTAGAAAATCAAAAGAGTAGTCAAAACCCATATCAATAGAGTAGATTGTCCACCTACAAATCCGAGTCAGAGTACTAGATCGATGATTCGGAATCGGTCCAAAAGCACGATCCAAAAAAAAACTAAAAGAATAGACGAAATTAAATAAATTTAGATGGAGAGAGGATGGGGGGAGAGAGAGAGAGGAGACAGAGAAAAACTTTGAAGAAAGAACATCAAGCTGACTTTATTTTAGCTTTTTCTCTTATAAACTTTATCTTGAAAATATGCACGAAACACTGGTATATGCCCTTCTTTTCTCTCTCTCTAGAAAAGTTTACTCTACAAAAAGTAGAAGTACAAAGTACAGGAGGCAGGCCTTTGAATATGAGCCCACGCATAACCTTTTTTTAGTGAGAGAAAGGCCACACCTTTTTAGCTAGAGAAAGACGCACTTTTCTATCACCATATTTAATTGAGTTTTTGTATCTTTTTAGACATCCGAGATTTAAGTATGGACATTATAGATATATATGCCCCATATACACCAAACCTGCACCTCCTTTCCTCTTCACGAATCTGGTTTCCTCTTCACAAATCGACCCTGAAAATCATGCAACAACATCAAAGTTATGACTGGGAAGAGGGAGGGAGTTAGAGAGAGAAGTCAAGATGATAACAGTAACCGGCCCGTTGACCCGACATACCAGGCTAGGCAGGCAGATCTCGGCTGGTAAAAAGTTGAAAGGTTGGCAAAAAATAAAAATAATCTAAAAATAAATATGCATGACCAAAATACTTTCCAACTTTACCAAAATGATAAAAATAAATAAAAGACACATCACAAACAGAACCCTTTTTTCTTGGAGTTTTTCAAACTTGAGAGAGAAAAGGAGAAGAAACAAAGACACATCACAAACAGAACCCTTTTTTCTTGGAGTTTTTCAAACTTGAGAGAGAAAAGGAGAAGAAACACATACACATAGAGAGAGAGAGGAGGGGTTAAGAGAGAGAGAGGAGGGTAAGAGAGAGAGAGAGTAGGTAAGAGAGAGAGAGAGAGACTCATGCGCGGCGTCGTCTCGTCGCTAGTGACGTCTTCCGTCGTACCGTCGTACGACGTACTCCTCGTTAGGAAGAAACGTCGTGTCGTCGTCCT